TCGTCTACTTGGGTCAGTTTGCTTCCTCTCTTTTGTCTAAACTAAACCTATTAATTAATCCCCAAATTTTGAAGAAGAAATCCCGAGAGCAAAATTAGCTCTCTTTTCTCTGTAAGTCTCCCCCCCCCCCCAATCTCTCTCTCCTCGTTCTAGAGAGAGAAAGAGAGATCGATTTGAGATCTGAGACCTTCATCGATCTCCTCCTCCTCTCTCGAGAATTTTAAAAATAAAATAAAATCAAGAGTAAAAATGACAAATTGGGAGGGCTGAAGACTGCTGCAAGCAAGCGATGCAGAAGGTGTTCATCGCAATGGTCGGCGTTTCACTGTAGTCACCTCACAGTAAGCTCCCCCCCCCCCCCCCTCCCCCTCCATTGATGTCGGATTTTATTTTGATGAGATTAGGTTTTTTATTTTTTTTGATTTGAATGGCTTGTTGTAGTTGTGGAGGACGGTGCTGCTGACTCCGTTCAAGCTCATCACCGTGTTCCTTCACGAGATGAGTCATGCTATTGCTTGCAAAATAACATGCGGCCAGGTTAGAAGCTTTTTTATTTTATTTTTTATTATTATTTAAGTTCCAACTCCAAATGATCTGTGATGAGTAATACATGCCCGGTATTCAATTTGAAATGTAATATCTTAACGCATGGATCTATTTGTTTTTTTACGGTTAAATTATCTAAAATGTGATTTGGAAGAATCCATAAGTAATTTCCACTAGGTCAAAAAAAACAAAAATGAAAATAAATTGACAAAAGATTGTGAGTTATAGCCTATAAAATCATGAATTTGAAAGTATGCATACTTAATTGCCATTGGATTGAAATAGAATAAAAATCACCAAAGTCATGAATTATTAGCCCATGAAAATTGCGAGTTTTGAAATAACCATACGTAATTGTCATTTAGTCAAAAAAATTAGAATTGAAAAAACTTGTGGGCAAGACTCCGTTAAATCATGAATTTTTAAATACCCTTAATTGCCATTCGATTGGGAAAAAATTGATTAAAAAAGTGGGTTATATAGCTCAGGAAAACTGTGAATTGTAAGTACTCATACTTTATTGTCGTTGGGTCGAAATGAACAAAAATGAATAAAAATTGTGGGTTATAGCGCATGAAAATCACAAATTTTAAACTACGGGTACTTAATTGTCATTGAGTTGAAACATGGAAATGAACAAAAGTTGTAGATTATAGCTCATGAAAATCACGAAATTTTGAAGTTTTTATACTTAATTTTCATTGGGTCGAAACCAACAAAAATGGAGAACAATTGTGGGTATAGTCCATGGGAATCGTAAATTTTCAAGTACGCATAAATAATTGCCAGGTCGAATGAATGAAAATGCACGAGTTAGCATTAGTAAAAAAAACAAAATTTGACAAAAATCTTGGGATAGGGCCCATTAAATTGTTAATTTTGAAATATGCATATTTAATTGCTATTAAAAATTGACTAAAATCATCAGTTATAGCTCATGAAAATCGTGAATTTTGAAGTAATCATACTTTATTATCATATACTCGAAACAAACAAAAATGAAGACAAATTATGTGTCACAGTCCATAAAAGTTACAATTTTTGAACTACCCTCACTTAATTGCCATTGATTTGAAACACATGAAAATAGATAAAAATTTGTAGGGTTATAGCTTAGGAAAATGGCAAAAATTTGAAATTTGTACGTTAATTTCCATTGGGTCAAAACCAACAAAAATTGACTTTGGCTATAGCCTACGAGAATCATAAATTTTGAATTACGCATAAATAATTGCTATTGTGTGGAAGGAAGGTAAATGCACAAAAATCATGGGTTATGGCCCATTAAAATCATGAATTTTGAAAGTATCCATATTTAATTTTCGTGTAGCTAAAAGAAATTTTTTTTTGATGAAAAACGTGTGTTAGTGCTCATTAAATCATGAATTTTGAAATACACTTAATTGTCATATGATCGAAAAATAAAAATTGTGTAAAATCATTTGTTATAACTCATGAAAATCATGAAATTTGAATTACTCATATTTTAATGTTGTTGCCACGAAATGAATGAAAATGAAGAAAAATTGTGAGGTATATGATGCAAAGGCAATAATTGATGTTTTTTTGGAAAAAATCCGATCATGCAAAAGCGGGACAATTGAAGCAAAACGGGTAATTTCGGATAGATTTCGAGATGTAACTTTTGATGAAGGGAGACACGGTCTTGATTACCATGCTAGGGTTAAGGATCTTCCCTGCTTTTGGGGTAACCTCAACATTGAAGACTTTCTTGATTGGCTTCACCAGATCGAGAAGTTTTTCGAGTTTTAATCCATCCCGAAAGGAAAGCAAGTTTCTTTAGTGGCCTACAAGTTGCGAGGTGGAGTTGCAGCATGGTGAGATCAACTCTAACTTAATCGGACTCGCCAACACAAACTGGCAATTCATACTTGGCGTCGCATGGAGAGAGAGCTATGATCGAGATTCTTGCTTGTGGATTATGAGTAGATCATATTTACTCAATTTAAAAATCATCACCAAGAACTTGATATTCTGTTAACTATGGTTTCTATGGGTGTGGAAATATTGGCTGTTGCACCCAAACAAGCAGAATTCAAGGAAGGCAATCTCAGTTTTGCTATAAGGATGGATGACAAATCTTTACTAAGCCTACAACAGGAAGTTGATGATCCCACACGAAATGGTTTGATGGATGCTTCGAACCACACAAACATAAAGGTGAAAGACGCCTATGTTCTTGTAAGTTCTCAAATCCCCATGGATGTTGTAGGTGAGTTGCCTGAACCAAACCAAAGTCATACGTATAGATTTCATTCACAAGAGGACATAGAGCTGAAGATAAAAATTGAGAATGCTAAAAGTCAGACATTAGAGCCTCTAGACAAAAAGAAACTACAAGGTGGCAATATGGACAAAGTTAGAAAGTCAAGTTGTTGCACCCATCAAGCAATTAGATGAAAAATTGATGGTCATACATGATGACGTCACATTGATGGAGGAGCACCCGCATTGGCACGAGATCAGTTGGATCAATTCGTTTGATCTTGATGCTATTCATTGTAGCAAAGAGAACACTTACTCATTTAAAAAGATGATATTCGATTTGCATTCGCACCCTTACGCAGTGAACCAAGTGTAGAAATTGCAAAGTTTAGACGCTTATAAGCATCATCGTTTAAAATTATTTGATGAGGGAGATCGAATGATGGATCATCTGCGCAAGAAACCATTGCCTAAGAAAACCTACCACAAATTTAAGATGAAGATTGTTAATTTGATTAAGTTTACCTGATCAGGCTGCTTTAGCTTCAATCAAACTCGAGGAGGAGTTTTGTTCATGAAGGGGAGAATGATGCGGAGGCAATAATTTATGTTTTTTTGGAAGAAATCTGATCATGTGAAAGAGGGACAATTGAAGCAAGACGGGTAATTTCAAATAGATTTTGAGATGCAACTTTGAAGGACGATATCTTTTGACTCGCTGCATAGAATCTTTATTATAATATGTTTTGGACAGCTGAGGAAGTTCTTTACACATAAAACAGATTATAAGTTCCAGATAAACTTCAACTTCAAAGATATTGGTTTTCGGGCTCAACTGCGCTGGAAAATTCTAATTTTTAGTTATTTTAGGTTAGTCTCTTTATTTTAGTAGTCTTTTTATTTTAGGAACTCTTTTGGTTTCATATCTTAAATAATGAAGATGTATTTTAGGAAGTATTTCTATTTCAGTAGTTTTTTTCTATTTTAGGAATTCTAATTGTCTTAGGAAAGGATATTTTAGTATTTTTTTTCTTTGTTTTAAACCCTATATAAGGGGGATGAACTCTTATATTATTTTTCAGATTGGTTATTATTAATCTCAGAGGTTTTTTTATTCCTAGAGTTTCTATGGTTTGTGTTATTTTGCTCATACGAGAACGAGTCGTTATTTCTTTTGATTACGTTTGCGCTACATCAGTATAGCCCATGAAAATCATGAATTTTGAACTACTCATACCTAATCGTTATTATAAACATACGAAAGTGGACCAAAGTTGTGGGTTATATAGCTCATGAAAATCGCAAAATTTTGATGTTTATATATTTAATTTCCATTAGGTCTAAGCCAACAAAAATGGGCAAAAATCACAGGTTATATAGCTTATGAAAATCATAAAATTTTTAGTAAATCCATAAATAAAGGCATTGGGCAGAACGAATAAAAATGGACAAAAATTGCGGCTTGTATCCAGGAAAATCGTGAAGTTTTAAGTACCCCTACTTAATTATCATTTTGATAAAAGAAATAAAAATTGACAAAAATCATGTGTTAGCGTTAATTAAACTGCAAATTTTGAAATACACGTTCTTATTTGTAATTTGATCAGAAAAATAAAAATTAATTAAAATTATGTGTTATAGCCCATGAAAATCGTGAATTGTGAAGTACTCATATTTTATTGTCATTTGCATGAAATGAACGAAATGAAGAAAAATTGTGAGTTATAGCCCATAAAAATATATGTCATAAAAATAGCAAAATTTGGAAGATTGTATGCTTAGTTTTTATTTGGTCGAAACGAACAAAAATGAGTAAAAATAGTGGGTTGTTACCTATGAGAATTGTAAATTTTAAAAAAAAATGCATAAATAATCTTCATTGTGCATGGACAAAAATTGCTAGTTATAGCCCATGAAAATAGCATAATTTGAAGTACCCATAATTGACAGAAAATCATGGGTTGGAGTCAATTAAATCACCAATTTTGAATTGTGCAAATTGAATTGCCATTCAATTAGTAAAACGAAAATTGACTTAAATCACATGCTATTGCCCTATAAAAATCATGAAATTTGAAGTATTCATATATTATTACTATTGGGGCGAAATGAATGAAAATGAAGAAAAGAGTAGCCTATGAAAATCACGAGTTGTAAACCACTCATACTTAAATCATTGGGTTGAAACACGCAAAGAAGGGCAAAAGTTATAGGTTATAGCTCATAGCAATCGTAAATTTGAATTTTGTATGTTTGATTTTCATTAGGTCAAAACCAACAAAAATGGACCTAAAAATCGCGGGTTATAGTTCATGAGACTCGTAAATCTTGAAGTACGCATATATAATTGCTATTGGGTAGAACGATGAAAATTGAAAAAAATCTGTGATAAGTCCATAAAAATCTCAAATTTTTCTCTAGCCATACATAATTTTCATTTAGTTGGAAAAAGTGAAAAATTAACAAAAACGTGGGTTAGCATCCATTAAATTGTGTATTTTGAAATACACGTACTTAATTGTCATTCGATCGAAATAACGAAAATTGACTAAAATCATTTGTGCCTATGAAAATATTGAATTTTTAAGTACTTATATTTTATTGTCATTGTTACAAGATGAACAAAAATGGTGAAAATTTGATTAACAGCACATGAAAATAATGAATTTTGGACTACCCATATTTAATTGCCATTGGGTTTAAACACACGAAAATGGACAATGGTTGTAGGTTATAGCTCATGAAAAATTACAAACTTTTAAAGT